AGGTCTGTTCTTCAGGTTAAGACCTGAGGTACCACTTTAGCTAATGGGGCCTACTGCTGCCGCCGTGCCGCCGGAGCACGATTTCTGTTCTCATCCTGAAGCAACGTTCTTAACCCGAGGTACTATTTCTGGGTTAGCGGAGTCTGTAACCTGAAGCGCCTATTGTGGGATGTAAACACAGGAGCAGTCAATGACAACATTCCTAGAGTGTACATGTTAGAACATGGGGAGGGATGTCTGTCCAGCAAGCAGGTAAACTTCCTGGGGACAGACTTCCTCCGCATGTGACCAGAGGTGGGTGTGGCCTCACCTGTGCAGGTAATGACAAAAGCACAGGGCAGGCAGCCATCTCTCTCTCTCTGCCATTTTCCTTCAATGAGGAAACATCTAAGGATGCCCTCTTGGCTCTCAGCCAAGAGAGGAGATAAGGACTATCTTGCTACAAGATAGATTCTGAATGTATGTAACCTTTTTAAGCCTGTCTGCCTTCTGGGATCATATTATGAACAGAACGTGAGTAAACTCTTTTATACTTTTATAAAGACTGTGTCGTGTCTTGTATTTTAAGAGGGAACAAAGGGGAAATTACCAGAGTAATTATTATAGAGGTTCTAGCGAACCTGTGCACACGTTACCGTTGCGAACTTAAAGGGGAATGTCTATAAACTCTGCTGATATTTTGGGAACTTGTTAGCACAAGTTGGATTAGGATATAATCTCACAATATATCCTCTCCTGCGCCCCTGAACATTCCCACACCTATAACTTGAAGCGACTGTAACCCGAGGTACCACTGTACTTTATACAAGATTGTGGGGTGTTTATTCTTTAAAGAAGGAAATAAGGGGACTTACCAGGAATCTATATTGAGAAGCTTAAACAAGCTTGCAACCAGCTACCCACTGTGTGTTTAAAAGGGGAATGTTAAAACTCTGCTAAGTTATAGAACTTGCTAGCGCAAGTTAGGAAGGATATTAATAAACAATATATCCTCTCCTGCCTCCCTGAACATTCCCACAGGATTGTAAAGGGAAGTGCTTTGGAGGAGTGAGGGGTTTAGGCTCCAGGACTTATTTGGGGGTGAGCCAAGAATAGTAGCCCTTTGGAAGGCACAACAAATGTAAGACACCCTTGCAGATTCTGGTGCAGTTGTAATTGTAGGGATGTGTATAGAAACTAGGAGAGGATATATTAGCTAGATACTATTCCTTCCTTATACAGGGGTACCTCAGGTTAAGTACTTAATTCGTTCCTGAGGTCCGTACTTAACCTGAAACTGTTCTTAACCTGAAGCACCACTTTAGCTAACGGGGCCTCCTGCTGCTGCTGCGCCGCCGCTGCACGATTTCTGTTCTCATCCTGAAGCAAAGTTCTTAACCCGAGGTACTATTTCTGGGTTAGCAGAGTCTGTAACCTGAAGCGTATGTAACCTGAAGCATATGTAACCCGAGGTACCACTGTACATGTTTGTGAATTTAGTAGAGTATACTCCTTTTAAGAGAAACTCTTGCTTCGGCTGGTTACAGCCTTTTTGATGAATCAGTCCAGGATACCTTGGTGCAGCCTGGATCTTCCTGGTATTTATCCCCCTCAAAACAATAATAACACAAAAAACCAGTCATAATAAAACAGAGTTTACTCACAGTTCACATACAGTAGCAATCTGGTGGCAGGCTTAGGTTGCGGTTACAGGTGTGTGTGTGTGTAAAATATATATGTATGTATGTATGTATATGGATGATGGAGTCTGAGTCTTTTAACCTCAGATTCAACAAGTCGCTACATCTCTGCAGAGATGCAGTGGTAGATGATGGCAAGCAAGCAAGATGGAGTAAGAGAGAGAGCTAGGAACGTGATCAGCCTTTTATATAAGTTATGCCCAGTGCTAATTTTTCTAGAAAAAGAGGTGCCGGAACTCATCATGAACACCTCCCATGTTCTCTCAGAATGGCAATGGCTACCAGCTGAGAGGGGCTGGAAATGAGTGTGAGTTCTGGCTGGAAAAAAAGCCCTTGTTATGCCCATCTCTACCTGGCTGCACCCAGGGGGAAGTGGCTTCCATAGTTTGACAGTAAGTCCTCCTGTTGGATCCACATTCTGCGAGTGCCCATTCTAGCAAACAGGAAATGTTGGACTTGCCTGCTCTTTCTGGGTAAGGTAAAGGGACCCCTGACCATTAGGTCCAGTCGTGACCGACTCTGGGGTTGCGGCGCTCATCTCGCTTTATTGGCCGAGGGAGTCTGCGTACAGCTTCCAGGTCATGTGGCCAGCATGACTAAGCTTTGGTGAACCAGAGCAGCACACGTAAATGCCGTTTACCTATTTATCTACTTGCACTTTGACATGCTTTCAAACTGCTAGGTTGACAGGAGCAGGGACCAAGCAACGGGAGCTCACCCCATCACGGGGATTCGAATCGCCGACCTTCTGATCGGCAAGTCCTAGGCTCTGTAGTTTAACCCACAGCACCACCCGCATCTTTCTGGGTATCTCACACTAATTCTAAAACTAAGCATCAGGCACTGCAACTTTGTTCATACAGATACGTGATGTCTTTCATTGCAACACAGCAGATTCTGGACTATTGGAAAATGTAGGCAACCAGCATAGCCCCCACCCAAATGATCTTGCAGTTTATATTATTAAACTTTGGTATATACAGTGTGTGGCTTTTGCATTTCTCTGCAGAGTGAACTCAGCCAGTTGCAATCACACAGAGAGACGTATTGCATAGCTGTCAACGTTTCCCTTTTTTAAAGGGAAATTCCCTTATTCCGAATAGGATTCCTAGCAAGAAAAGGGAAAAGTTGACAGCTATGCATCTTGATCAACAAAAAAAACCACACCCCTGTTTATTATAGGAAGTACATAACCTGAATAGAGAAGTGTCTGGTTCTAAGTTAACTGATTGGTCTAGAGAAAATCAAGGTGGCCATGTTTTCTCCTTTATTCTTAGAGAATAGAGCCAAGATGACCTCTGATCCTGAAGTGTGAGAGGGAGGAATTTGTAATCCGGATCCAAGCTAACACTGAATTAGTCTAAACTTGAAAGGACAGAGAGGTGAGCATAGAAGTCAATGATGCAGGGATAGCTTAGGGATCTGGAAGTCCTTTATCTGTTACAACCTTATGCAAACCCCTTTCTGCAAGGTGAGTTGCAGCTGTACCTTTAACAGAAATGTCAGCAGAGGTGAGACAGGTGAGGTTAACAAAGGTTGATTGTGATCAAATGCAGAGCCCCACAGTTGAGCTTCTTTCAAGTGGGAGGGAAGGACTGTAGAAGTGGCAGTAATTTGCTCCCCACCAGAAAGCAACATGGGCTAATGAGGGAGGGGGCCATCCAGAAAATGGCAGCATGGATGAGAATTGTCATAGATAGAATTGTAGAGTTGGAAGAAAAGCCCAATAGTCATCTCATCCAACTCCCTGCAATGCAGGAATCACAGCTAAAAAAACACCCCTGACAGATGGCCACCCAAATTCTTTAAAAACCTCCCATGAAGTAGAGAGTCCACCACCTTCTTAGATTATTTGCTCCAGGATTTCCCAACCTTGGTTCTCCAGATGTTTTTGGACTACAGTTCCCATCATCCTTGACCACTGATCCTGCTAGTTAGGGATGATGAGAGTTGTAGTCCAAAAACAGCTGGAGACCCAAGGTTGGGAAACATCGATCTAACTCTAACAGCTCCTCCCGTGACAAAGTTATTTCTACCGTTTACTTGTAATTTGAATCCATACGTTTGGATCCTATCCTCTGGAGAAGCAGAAAACAAGCTTGCACCATCCTGCATGTGACATCCCTTCAGATATTTGAGGACAGCCCAAGTAATTGCCAAAGATTTGAATGCTGGTTATTACCCAGTAAGCATAAGATGTGCACGAACGAGATCAGGAGCCCGTCCTATTTGGTTCAGTACTGATTTCTATGTGCTCAAAGCAAGTATTTATTTTACTTTATGTATTTGCTACATTTATATACTGCGTTACTTCAAAGATTTAAAGGCAGAGTTCATGCTTTTCAGGGGGTTGGACTAGATGACCCTCTTGATCCTTTCCGACTACAGTTCTATGAGTCTACGTAGTTCTCTCTGCTTCAATTCTACCCGCACAACAACCCTGCAGGGTAGGTTAGATTGAGAGAAACTGACTTTCTCAAGGTCCCCTAGTGAGCTTCATGACCGAGCAGGGATTTGAACCTGTTCTTCCTAGGACAACAGGCTGACCATTACACCACACTGCTCCTTAAGAAGCGCCACAGAACAACCGAGACTTATGAGTGGTCCTGCATCGGAGCCAGCTGTTTCTATAAAGCGATGCGTCAAGACGGAGCAGTACTTGCGAGTAAATATCTGCCAACTCCGTTTGTTTGTAACTCAAACGCGGGTTACGGCTGTTACTCATGAGTAAGCCATAGCTGTCAACGTTTCCCTTTTTTTAAGGGAAATTCCCTTATTCCGAATAGGATTCCTCGCAAGAAAAGGGAAAAGTTGATAGCTATGGAGTAAGCTCGTGTGGGCTCGTGCGGATAGCCCCCCAGAAATAGCGGCAGGAGATTGGGCAATCGTTCAGGAGGAGCAAGAGCCGTTTCAGTCCACTTCGGGAGCTATTGGCGCTCATTTCGATCGAGGGAGAGAACATTTCGATGCCCCTAAGCCCCACCTCTCCGCTCGAGAGCATATGCTTTAAAGGCGCAAGGTCCCTGGTTCAATCCCCCTGCTGGGAGCGGAATGCCCCGCCCACCCCCCTTTTGAAAAGCAGGGAGAAGCGCTGCCGGATATCCGAGAGGACTCTGAGTTGTGTAGGGTTGCTTTCTGCGCGGTATGCAGCTCTTATCAGAGGAAGTTTGATACGGGTTCATCGTCATTGACTGGCTGCGCTTGCGTGGGGAGGACCTGTCCGTGTGTGGAGCGGGTTAGACTAGCCGGCCAGACACCGTTCGCTTGCTGGAGAGAGTCGGTCAGTTCTTCGAGGTGAGCCCAGCTGTGAGTTGCGCCGCCATGAAGTGGGCTTCGCTCTTCGCTGCTCTTCTGCTGCTGCGCCTTCTGCCTTGGGGCGAGCCCCAGAGCACGGCCCCTGCTCCCACCGAAGACCCCTTGATGCTGAACGAGACCAATGGATCAACGTGCGCCCAGTGGCTGTACGGTTCCGAGCCGCCAGTGGTGGAAGCTTTCCAGTGCGCGGGGCAACCCGACGGCGCCGAAGTCAAGTTTTGCTGCGGGACCTGCAATCAGACGCGCAATTGCTCCTTCGAAGAGCTCACGGAGGACTCCCCACCGCGCCCCACCGACGGCTGCCCAGCGTGCCCCACCGACGGCGGACCAGAGACGTGCCCTCCTTCGCCTAAAGTGTCACGTAAGGCGGCTATCTCCCTTGGCATTTATTAGCTCCACGGGCGGATACTACCTGGGGCTAGGTCTGCACGCACGCCTGCCGTTCTGTCTCTTTTAGACACGGGTCCCCCGCTCCCTGTCGGCTTCCCTTTCGGTCTATCGCTCTCTTCCCCGCGTTTGAACTGGGGATGCGGATCAGAGGCTCCACTCCACGGGGAGGGCACCTTCGAAGCCCCTTTCGCCTCTCCAAGAAGGCTGCGCGCTTTCGTTGGGAGGCTGGGAACGGGAACTCTCTTAGGGTGAAGCCCAGCTGGCAGAAAACCTGGGGGGAGGGCAAGAAGGCCTTCGAAGGTGCTTCAAAGGGGTCGTGTGGGCCCAGTCTTAGGCTACGCTAAGTCTTTACGTGTCAGAAGACTCTGGGTTGCCACGGGCGGACTAGCTTGCTGACGACTCTGCAAGTAGCTCTGAAAGGCTTGGGCAAGATTTGTACACGGGGTGGGGGCAGGCTACTTCTCTCGACGAAGTCCGGGGAGTCCTAGTTTCTAGGCCGCTCCCGTGTAGGGACATTTATCACAGGGAGTCTTCTCAGCTGAGGACAGTCAGGCTCCAGTTACTATGGCGCCCTTTCCTGCCCTGTCCTGTGTTAATTGACTCCTGAAGTGAGACGCGGGGGGAATGGTTGCAGCCTGAGATACTCTACCTCAGATGCTAGCCATACTCGCCCCCCGGCTTTTTGGTTAAAATCCCCCACTCCATTCCTGGGGTGTCCAGTTTGTACCCTTGAGCAGAACAATCAAGCAAATGGGTAACAGAACCAGCACTTATCATTGTCTTTCTTCTGTTTCAGACTGGGTGAGGATAACCTGGTTCTCTGGAGGAGTTCTTGCAACTGTGCTAATGTACTGCGCTTTCCCCCTCATTTGCGGAAGATTTTTGCGGAGGAAGACAAACACCCGTGAAAGAGAGGAAGAGATCGAGGTAGACGGCGGCTCTTCTGTGAGACCCTCTAGCTCCCCTGATGCCTCCACTAGATTGGCTCCACCATCATCTGCTGGTGCAGAAGGTCTTCCAAGTTCAAGTGACCGTCCTGCTTTTGCCACCTGCAACTTACCGCTTTTGGAGCCTCACGCTGGGTACTCTGAGTATGTGACAGTCATGTGGTTTCCAACGGTGCCACCTCAAAATGGTACTACTTCTGCTTCGAGGCCGGAACAGGGTGGCACAAGTTCCCCGGCTAGGCCAAGTAATCAGGAGGCCCTCCTCTAATTCAAACGGTTAGGCTTCCCTGCCAAAGCTGAGCCAGGTCTTATGGGAGGGTTTCTTTTTTGCCACATGGCAGATTCTGAGGTTTCCCTAATCTTTCAATGTATAACCATTTCTGTGTATGACTCCTGCAGAGGCAAACCAGGAAAGCCCTGATGGCTCCTGAATCATTTGCTCTTGAATGCATGGAATCATGTTTGTATCAGAGGCACTTGTCAAATGTATCTGCAAATTATCAATAAAAGTGTGTGTTTTGCAACCTGGTCTCTTCAATTCTAGTTTTCCATCTTCTGACTAAATTCTATTGCAGCTGGGACTTGATATGATGTGGCCCAATGGTTTAACTGCTGCCATTAGACCTCTAGCCTTGATTAACTCCGAAAGATGCAATTCTATTTGCATCTTTTACCCTTCCTCCAAGGAGCCTTGTAGGTTGGATGGCGAGACAGTGAGTGTCCTGATGTTGCCCAAGGAGTACCATGGAGAAGGAGGGATTTGAACCCTGCTCTCCCCATCCCTAGTCCAACACTCTCACCACTACCCTTTAATTGATTAAGGACCTTAAAGAGTCACAGGTCACCCTGGTGATTGTCTCAGGCAAAGATGTTGTGGAACTGGTGGGAGGGTTTTGGGTGCTCTCACCCTTAATGTCCCTGTTTCTCTCTCTCTGCTCCCTCCTTGCCCTCCAGGAGGTGGGGCCTTAGGATACTGATAGGCAGTTCACCCCATTTTTCAGGGAGCAGAATGTTTTAAACCTCCCCTCCCTCTTCCACAATTCTGATGGAAGTACCCCCCCCCCAAAAAAAAGCTTCAGTCATCACGGGAATCATGGGGAGGGAAGATTCAACCAGCTGAGGTAGCATCACTCAGCAAGGGAAAAGAGATGGGGGGAGGAGGAGGGGAAGAAAAGTGTGAAGTATCTCTGATTCTACCCTCTGCTGAGAGATTACTCCAAGAGAATCCAGCCCACTCCTCTTCTCACTGCCACACTTTATTCAAGTCCATAGAACTGAGAATTGGCAGGGCGCAAGCACAGCATGGGAGCATTCCAAACCTCAGCCAGGGGAGCATCATGACTTAACAGAGAAGCACATCCAAATTGCTCTGCCAGTCTGGAGCCCAAGTCAGGCCAGGTACCATCATATGATGGCTTCACCCATGAAGCAATTTGCCCCTCCCCTTCTGATGCTGTTCCTGCTGGCATGAGCAGCAGGACTGCAAATCCAGTGGTGGCCCTGCCATTTCCTCAATTTCTGAAGCTCCCTTTGGATTGCAGTGTGGAGAAGTTACAAAGGCCACATGCATAGCCTCTGGAGGGATGTCGGAGAAGGTGAATGCATCCTTCCATCAATATGACGGCATTTCTAACATCAAACAACTTCAAAACAGGGAATTGAGGATGGGCAAAGCAGCATAGAGGTATAGCTTGCGTACAATTCTGAAGAACTGTGAAAGAAGCAGCAATGTGGCCTGCCCTTTTTTTTAGTGGAACTGAGAGCATTTCATGCCAGCTGGGGGGAAAGGCAGGGGTCAGACCACTTGCCAGTGGTGGACTGGGTGCAAAATGGCCGTGGCATGGATCAGATGGGCATCACACCTTTTCCTTCGCAGCCCCTTTTCCCCTTCTGGGGAGCCCTTCTTCAGCTCCCCCTCCCCCATCACCTCTGATTCTGACTGACCCCACTGCTCATCTGATTACTGAAAGGGAAGGTTGTGGCTGCGTAAGAAGAGGCAGTGGTCCAGAAGCAGCCAAGGGGGTTCAGAGAGGAAAAGGGCATATGTCCTGGAGGCCGTGACCAGAGAGTGTGCGCATTGCGTGGAAAATCTACCAAATACAGGCCAGATATGCACATTCCCTGAAACCTCTTGGGACATTATGCATGCTGACTAGGAAATAGGCACAATTCCCTCTTCATGGATGCATTGGGTGCACATTCTCCATGAGGTGTGGTGAATGTGCACAATGGCCGCTTGTTGCACATATTAACTACCAGTCCCCATAGCAGATATCATCCATGCTAGGATTCTTAGGACTAATTAAATTTAGTACTTAATTATTCAGTGTGTTTTATTTTATTCCGATGTGCTTATGAAAAAGCCCCCCCTTTCGTTTGTTTTTATTACTGCCTTAGGTGGTCCAAGGCATACAATAACGACCAGTGCAGTCATCGTGTGATGTTCAAGTCCTCTCTGAACTAGCTCTCTGTCTTCTGGGGCTATACTGGCACACATCCCCACCCTTTCCCCTGGATTTGGGTCCATTCCATCTTTGTATTCAAGATGGCGGTGGAAGTGGCCTTTTCTCCTACCTAGCGGGGCTCTTGATCACCATCTCTTTTTAATATTCTTTTTATTAAGTTTGTTTGGGGAAACTATACATTTAAAACATAGCAATTTCAAACACTAAAATACAGAGTTCTTTCGAACCCTTAGACCATGTGTAGGTAAACTAAGGCCCAGGGGCTGGATGCGGCCCAATTGCCTTCGCAATCTGGCCTGCGGATGGTCCGGGAATCAGCGTGTTTTTACATGAGTAGTGTCCTTTTATTTAAAATGCATCTCTGGGTTATTTGTGGGGCATAGAAATTTGTTTGTCGATAATTCATATGTGCCGGGGTTGCAAGGAAATAAAGAAGTTTAGGGGAATAATACATGAGAAACTTCAGAAAATGCTAAAAAAAACACCTTGATAAAAAATCCCGAAGCTTATCTGTTAGGGTTGGTGGGCAAAGACATACCACATATGAAAAAAACCAATCTTTTTATATGCAACAACAGCTGCCAGGGTAGTGATTGTTACTAAATGGAAATCTCAGGACATACCAACAAAGGAAGAGTGGATTTGTAAATTAAGTGAGTATATAGAATTGGCAAAATTAAGTTCAATTATAAGATATCAATCAAATCAAAAGTTAAGAATGGAGTAGAAGTATTTCAAAGATTACATGTCAAAATATTGTTCTAAAAATGACATGTTAGTAGGCTTAGAATAAAAAATGTAAGCAATAACCAAAACAAATAAAGAAATAAAACTCAGAATTTAACAAAAATAATTTGTTATAGAATGCAAGGGATAAAAGGTAGAAAGAAATATACAGAAGTCGAATTGCTGTGGACGGAAGTAGAGGGTGGGTGGTGGGTTTTATAATTAAGTATAATTATGCAGCTGTTGTAATTTAGATATTATATTCTATGTGAGGAAATAATTTGGAATTTTGATTATTAGGTATATATGTTAAGTTTCAATAAAGATTTTGAAAATTAAAAAAAAATGAATTATTATTAGCAGCTGGTTAGTGAAGAACATTGTTATTCTCGACTTCAAAATAAACATAAAGCCAGTTTCTGTGTAATGCAGCCTGTTGCTATTTAGATGCATTTTATTCACAGCAGATTAAATTTGTATTTTAGAAGAAAGAAAGAAAGAAAGAAAGAAAGAAAGAAAGAAAGAAAGAAAGAAAGAAAGAGAAATTCGTTGTTGTCCCCACCCCCAATTTAGTCCGGCCCCCCACAAGGTCTGAGGGACAGTGGACCAGCCCCCTGCTGAAAAAGTTTGCTGACCCCTGCTAGACCTCCCTCCTTCCCTCCCTCCCTGGGTTCCATCTTTAAGATTACATTTACTGCATCTTTTACCCTTATCTAGCTATTAATTACCATTAAAACAATTCTACATTACCAGTGTCTTTACATCCCCGCCAAAGATATTAACTGTTTACAGTGGTCTTTTAAGTAAATTACAAATATATTATATTATATTATATTATATTATATTATATTATATTATATTATATTATATTATATTATATTATATTATTATATCATTTCCCAGAAAGCCTTTACCAATGTACATGTCCACCGCATATGGTAAAAAGTATTCTCTTTCTCTTTACATTTCCAACACAGTTTAGAACTTGTTTTGTACATTTTAGCAATTTTATTCGGGGTTAGATACCAATGGTACATCATTTTCATATAATTTTCTTTCAACGAACAGCAGGCAGTAAATTTTATTTCCACTTTCCATAACTTTTCCTAGGATGAAAGTTGGATATTATATCCAAAGTCTCTAGCCCAGTCTTGATCACGATCTCAATGGGACAGAGAGTCCATGGTTTGCATTCACCCCAAGCGTCTCAACTCAGAGTAAGAAGTGGATATTATCACATTATGCTGCTTGTGGGTTCAGCACCACTCATTCAGGAAAGCTTTTGCAAGCCTACAAAAATAAATTCCTGTTATCAAAATGCCAGCCTATATCCCTTCCCACACTTTAGTACATATCTACCTTTTTCAAGAGGAAAAACAATAAGTTAAGAAAGTCTAACACCAATGACCTTTTTTGACACGCCAGGGACCCATTGCAACATTAAACCCTTGAGTGGGAACATTCTCTAGTGCACTCCTGACCCCCTGGCTTCCAGTACACCACCTTTGGCAAGCCTAATGTGAGACCTCCTCTTAGCCTCCTCACTCCACTTCATAGGCCATTCTTACCAGGGACAGGCCCTCCTGCTCCCTTGCCAGAGGCAAAATGGAAGAGTGCCATCTCACCCGGCCACTGGCTCTGCCACTGTCCCACTAAGGGTGGGGCTGCATGGCTGCAGCATCAGCTTCTGGGTTCAGGGGGTGGGAGAAGTGGTAGCAGGTTCTGGGTTCCAGCAAGATCTCTGAACTCACCTTCCTGGGTGTGAACTCCACTGAAAAGAGGGGACTTCCCACTACAAAATATACTTAGAATGCACACTTGTGCAAAGGCAGATAGTCCTTTAATAATATGATATCTTCACTCAGAAGCAGTTCTGAAATGGGTCTCCTAGTTGTATATGGTTACAGACCAGTGGTATCCGTTTCTGCTCAATGATTTTAATGGTGCTTATTTCTATGGAAGTGAAAGAAGCACATAGAATCATACACTGGTGGAGGAACAGGGGTGTGGAGGGAATGCACCGCCCCCGGCACCACTATTCTGGTAGGGTGCTATTGCGGCACCCCCCTGACATGTGTTGTAAACCCCCATGTGTGCCGGGTGCTACGCCCCACAGGTGGCACGCCACACCCCCAGAATGTGTGCCACGCCCCTGCGGGCAGCGCCACACCCGCAGGATGCACGCCACGCCCCCGCCTGCTCTCCGCCCCCGGTAGCGGAGCATGCAGCTTTGCCCCTGGAATCCTATGAATCAGCCGGGACCCTGTGATTATCATCTGAGGCCCTTCTTTGTGTGCCTCCTTCACAAGAGGTCTGGAGGGTGGCCTTTTTCTGCATGGCTGTCCATGGCTCACCTGGGGCCTGCCATACGCATCTTTAGGTGCCAGGAAAAAACATTTCTCTAGGGCCAGGCCTCTGGCTAATAAAACATTCTATGGCCTTTTAAACTGTGTGTTTGGGACAAGGCTTGTGTTTTTTTCAGTATTTCGTGTTCTCATTTTGTATTTTTATGTTGTGAACTGCCTTGTGGTCTTCAGATGAATAGTGGTATACAAATCTAAGAAATAAAATTCATAACAAGAATCATGGGATTGTGGAGTTGGAAGGGACCCCAAGGCTAATCTAGTCCAATCCCCTGCAATGCGCATGAATGCTTACTCTGGAGTAAGCTCAAAAGGTAGGGTCAGGTTAAGATGGTTGGGAACGATTATGCGGTTCTGAAAATAAGGCCACCACTTCCCTGCAAAAGGAAGCCACACCATGAAATAAAGTGCCAACATTTTCTCCAACTTTGATTTAAAAAAAGTATTCTGAGCATGTGCACTTTCCCATTTTAAACTTGTTTGACTCATCATTAGTTTTAGTTATGTCATGTCTTTGGCTAGTGGCCAGCTCACAGTCTAACCCATCTCAAGGCTGTTGTGAAGGTACAGAAGAAGGTGTACAAGTTCTGCTTGTATGATGGGTATAAAACTTTGGTTCTTTTAGCCATAGTGCTTGTGGATTCAGTATAGTCTCACTTCAGATTAAGTTACCAATTCAATGCTTCTGAGCAAATTTGAACAAGCTGGAGCTGATAGCCACCCCCAAAAAACTGGGCCAGAAGCTAAACAGTTCTCTGAATCAGCCTTTTTTTTTTGTTTTTATTGGCAGAGAATGGTCAGAAGGGGTTCTTGCGTGGCTCAGGGGTAGGGCCAGAGTCAGCTGGAACGAATCACGTTTCTTGACCTCATCAAGGAATTTTTTTTGACGTGAAATAAATTTCAGTTGGGCAGCCTTGGCTACTTCTCTTTTATCTGGTTTCTTGGACTGACAAGATTGCAAGAGCTAACAAGGAGACCCAGGCTGTGAAGGGAACGAAGCGTTGTCCTATCCGCAAGAGATCTGCACCATGAAGAGGTTTCTGGTGCTTTGCACCCTTGTCCTGCTGTGTGTTCCACGGAAAGGCGCCTTTTACTTGTCTCCGGAGGACGATTTGTGCTACTTCTGGCTGTACGGTCAGAAGCCGTATGCGAAGGATTTCCAGTGTCAAGAGTGGCACGATGGCACAGAAGTAAAGATCTGCTGCGGGACCTGCTCCCCACCCTGCTGCTGCTCATCTGAGGGGTCTCTTCTAGATCACCACTGGTGCCCCGCAGAGCCTGAGAAGGTGTATATATCGCCTTTTACGAAGGTTATAGAAAGTAAGACGTCTTTATTTACACCTGCTTTTAAGGGGTTGGCTGGGGTGCAAATAGAGCGGACACAAATCTGGTGTGTTTTAGTGACCGTTTTCTCCTCCTCCTCCTCCTCCTCCTCTCTCTCTCTCTGTCCCCCATATTATTGTTTTTTACTGAATTTAAATTTTACAAAATAATAATCATAGCGATGTGACAATTCATTCGCCCACTCCCCAAACGGGCAAGACAGTATCATCAATGAAATACATTATGCCGTAATTGTTCATGTGTACGTGGTAGGTGCCGAGTCACAACTTGCCATTTGAAAAAGGTTATTAAGGGATACTATATTTCTATAAAAATCATCCATTCATAGCTTTTTATGTGTTTGATTAGATTCTCCACTGGTGCCACTGTCCATACCGTTTGCCAGCACAGTGAAAGTTGCAGATGGTTCTAACTTTTCTGCAGCTGCCACTAAAAGAAATGTGATTAGCTCTTTATGTTTGTAGGTCTTTCTGATTCTCGTGGAGAATAAACTATAAAGCCAGTTGTGGCATACATTGGACTGTTTGTGATGATATTTATTGTTTTGAAATTGTCCAAAATTTTTGAATTTTAACGCAAGTCCTATGTTTAAGCTTCTTGAACTTGAAGAGTTGTGTGGTACTTTACTTGAACTTTTGTAATGTTTTTGAAACTGCAAAAATAAAGACTAAAAAGGCTGCCATGTTTTAGGATGCCTTAATAAATGTGTCAATCGTTAAAGCCCCGTAAAATGGCCTCATCTGTGCTGCACATTTAAAACAGTTATCATTCCACTTTAAACAGTCATGAAGGTTCATCAGGACCAGTGCACGCTGAATGTGTCCCATTAGTCTTGGGTTCCGTCTCTGATACGTACAGCAGCAGTAGCACACCTAAGTAGCGCAAGTCCTAGAAAGTAGGTTAAAACAAAACAAAACAAAGTTCAGCAAAACAGGGCAGAAAATGTATTAAGAAAACTCAGGTGTTAATAACTGCTCTTCTTCTGTTTCTAGATTGGCTGATCTTTGTTTTTGTGAGCTGTGGAATCATCCTTGGTTTTGTGGTATCCTTCTTCATATACTTTCGGTTCAAAGTATTTCTGATTCGGCGGAGAATACGCAAGGCAAAGGAGGAACGTCGCCGTCAACGCGAACTATGTCGCCAACAAGGAATCTCTGACACTCCTGATACTAAGGATGCTGTCCGTGATGATGCTGTCCACGAGGATGCTGTCCGCGGGGCTGAAGGGGGGCTGCAGGAACGTCGCGGTCACCGCCCTCTATGCCGCCAACTAGCAATCTCTGACACTCCTGATACTAAGGTTGCTGTCCACGAGGATGCTGTCCACGCGGATGCTGTCCACGAGGATGCTGTCCGCGGGGCTGAAGGGGGCCTGCAGGAACTTCGCGGTCACCGCCCTCTATGCCGCCAACTAGCAATCTCTGACACTCCTGATACCAATGTTGCTGTCCACGAGGATGCTGTCCACGGGGCTGTAGGGGGGCTGCAGGAACGTCGCCGTCACCGCGCTCTGTGCCGCCAACGAAGAGTCTCTGATAGTTCTGATACTAGTGATGATGTCCACGAGGATGCTGTCCGTGGGGCTGTAGGGGGGCTGCCGAAACGTCGTCGTCACCGCCCTCTATGCCGCCAACGAAGAGTCTCTGACAGATCTGATACTAGTGATGATGTCCACGAGGATGCTGTCCGTGGGGCTGTAGGGGGGCTGCCGAAACGTCGCCGTCACCGCGCTCTATACCGCCAACGAAGAGTCTCTGACACTCCTGATACTAAGGATGCTGTCCACGAGGATGTTGTCCACGGGGCTGCAGGGGGGCTGCAGGAACGTCGCCGCCGCCGCGCTCTATACCGCCAAAGAAGAGTCTTTGACAGTTCTGATACTAGTGATGATGTCCATGATGATGCTGTCCGCGAGGTTGTTGTCCAAATTGCTGCTTTCCACGGGGATGCTGCCCGTGATGATGCCGTCCCTGAGAGAATAGTTTCACCTTCTGGCACGGGAGTCTCTCAAGGTATCCAGCCTGCCCCACATCGGTCTGGCCCAGCTGTACGCTTCCATCGAGGGAGCGCAGATGACTTGGTTACCATTTCGCCTTTAGCAACTGAAGAAGCTCCCCCATTTAAAACAACAGTTCCGAGGCTATACATCTCCAAGGATGGCTACTAGGATCAAGGAAACAAGCCTATGCTGATGATTTTACTATATATTAAACTAAACTGATTCCTGTTTTGAATGTAGTGCTCCCTTTTGAATTGCTGTTCGCTGCCTTCTTAAAAATAAATAAACAATAGTATGTTGCACAGAGGTTTTGAGTCTTGTCTGTTCCAGTGCCACCCGGCTTCCATAAATGCAATAGATTAGCAGGGGTAGGGAACCTGTGACTCCTTCCCAGATGTTGTGGGACTACAACTCCCATCAGCCCCAGTCTATATGGCCAATGATTTAGGAGAGTGGGAGTGTAGTCCAGCAACACCTGGAGCGCCACAAGTTCTCCACTCCTATCTAGAGGGAAGATACCTTGGAGGTATGGGGTGGGGAAATAGTTTTCCCATTGAATCATTACTTTTTAAGGGGATGATGAATTGCAAAGAAGAGAGCTGTTTAGCTCCAACAATTTCCACTCTGTTAACAGAAAACTATATTTAAGTTGCTCAGTACAGCTTTTTACTTGCCCTCAGACAAGAAGAAGAAGAGAAGAAGAGTTTGGATTTGATATCCCGCTTTATCACTACCCTAAGGAGTCTCAAAGCGGCTAACATTCTCCTTTCCCTTCCTCCCTCACAACACACACTCTGTGAGGTGAGTGGGGCTGAGAGACTTCAAAGAAGTGTGACCAGCCCAAGGTCACCCAGCAGCTGCATGAGGAGGAGCGGGGACACAAACCCAGTTCCCCAGATTACGAGTCCACCGCTCTTAACCACTACACCACACTGACAATGGATGGGACAATGGATGGGAGGCCATGAAATGCTTTGCGTTCAGTTGCAAATGCACAGCCAGTGCAATTCTAACTCCTCTCTTCTCTGATGGCTTCATCTCTAAAGGCAAGCGATATGGATATATATGAGATGTGCACAATTTTAGGTGTGGTGGTTGAAGGACAGTAGACTCAAAGATGCTGCTAACGGCATTGCTTACTGACCAAGTCCAATTTCAGGGCAGAGACAATTCTGCGCTGTCAATATTTTTAGTACACACCTTATTTTTATTATTTTTATGAATTGAATTTATATACCTTCCTCTATCCGGAGGTCCCAGGGCGGTTATTTTTATAGCTGTAAGTTGTTTTAAAGCTGTAAACTGCCCTGGGATATTAGGGTGAAAAGTGGGTAATACATTAATGATAATATGAAGACCGCTGACTTGGCAAAGCCCGGAGGCCACTCCTGAAAGTAACGCTGCAAACAACGCCAGTGGAAACATAACAAAAGCATTGCTAAGTGGCGTGTGGTTTATATAGCACATAGTATGACCCAAGGCTTTTTACAACTTGTGTATCATCACCTCTGTGTATGAAGCCTGAAGAGGCAAAGCAAGGGAGCCCCAATGAACCGCTTCTGAATCAACTGTTTCTGGGCTGCATGTAACTGTTTTCATGGCATAGACACTCGTCAGATGTTATGTACCAAATCACCCATAAAAATATGCGCAGGGTTTTTGAATTTGGTCTTGTGTACGAACGGTTCTAAATTCTGACTTGCTGCTCGTAATTGTAGCTGAAGGGTTTAGCTGCCTCTCCAGCCTCGACGAGTATCTAAGGATACAGTTCTACACGCTAAAAGCAGGCTCGAGTGGTGTGTTTACAAGTCATCCTGGTGCTTTTTTCGGGGGAAGGGAGGGGAAATGACTTGCAGGGATGAACTGGTGGGATGGGCTGGGGTGCTCTTAGTGTTCCTGCTCTCCACGACCCCCCGCCACTTCATGAGGTGTTCTTATCAGGTGGGTGTTTGATTTTTTTAAAGGCTTAAAGCAGCCTCTATTTCTAAACAATACCAAGCATCTCTTTCATTAAAAGCTGCTATTAAAAAGAAATCTGAACTGAATAGATACCAGCTCGGCGTTTATTCTAGCATGCAGCTGAGCATATTTTTTGCAGCGTCAAAAAAAAAGAAAAGAAAAAAGGTTGCAGTGTGAAATAAGTTGCTTTTTTGCAGTTGACTTTAATAAGGAGCCAAGCAGTTTCTTAAAAAGAAACAGGTGAGATGAAAAGCAATAGAAAATGACAAACATTGTGCTTGTCCTAGGCAGCAATTAACCCTTTCCAAAGGCAACGTGGTCTGCAGCTTAGTGTTCTGCAGCCTGCATTCCAAAACCCGCTTTCAGTACCTCTCGCTCTCCACAGGCTTTGAAGTGACTCTTTGCCAGGACTTCGGTCTTATAGCACAGGTAGTCAGGTAGTTCTCCCGCTTTCCACAGGCTGCTTGGTAAACCACAGCGCTTAATCGGAGCAAACGGCAATCTGCAGAAAACCCTAATTGACATTTGCTCTGAAAGAGTCCTAAAGAGTGGGTTTTCGCGGAGAAAGCTTGGGGGGCAGAAAATCCACAAAACCACGCTCAGACAAGGTGCTTTTAAACTTGGATCATGCCTGGAAATAGTAGATAAAAGGTTAAGTGTGGATAAGCCCGGTGTGTTGAGTACAGAAAGAGAGGTTGTAGGATTTGGTTAAACTTTTGGAAAGAGTACTGCTGTTCTGCTTTTATTTGTTCCTCTAGCTTGGAAGTAAACATTTGCCCGCGCTTGCTTGTTAGGTAGGCCAACAGGGCATTCCTATGCTTTTCTGAGTTTTCATGACTTTGAATAAGATGGGGGTTGTGCCAGTCATCAAACCCTTCGGTAGCTAAAGCTGTGGAAGAAGATGCAAGATCTGGAAAGAGTTTACAAACAAAGCAAAAAATCCACCCTTTTGAGGGAGAATATGCAAGTCACTCTCGGCTATATGTTTTCCCATTTGCTTTTGTTGAATAAAAAAGAGCTTTTGTGCAAAACCTGGACTGCTTTTGGACACTTGTTGAGAATGTGAAAGTGGTCCACAATGATGCAGAACTTGAGAGATACCCCTCTCTACTCAATAGGATACTTCCTCATGTGATAATTCTGGCCGCAAACCAACATCTGGTATAGTAGGTCTATGTTTGGCACCGTCTTTATCTGCATCAGGAACACCTTGGACTTGGCCTACTATCATATCAGGTGTGAACTGCAAAATCTGACTATTCACATTCTTTTCTTGTGGCTCTTTAGCCTCTCCCTGCCCAGTAAGTGACTTTTGAATTAGTTCTATATTTTCAGTTTGAGCTAGCATCATGGCTGCTTCCTCATAATCAGCTTGCTGTTCCACATCCTGCTTCACTGTTTCTCTTTCAGGGAGGTTTTTGTCTGGTTGAATGCTAGTAGTTGGTTCAGACCGAATAGCTTCACTGCTGACTCTTGTTGCTTCAATGAGTGGTTTATGCATGAAAGCAGTGATTGGTCTTAACTTCATTGTCATAGCATTTTCGAGTCTCTTCCGCTTGCTAGCACCACTTTCAAGTCTTTTGCTCATGCTTAGATTAGAATCTAAAAATAAGAATAAAAATTAATCTTCAACTGGGTAAACTTGGGCTTCTGTCACTCTTCCGTAGCTGCCACCACTCGCTGACTTCCCTATGCCTTTCTTGAGGGGCAGTGAGACCCCTCTGGCTGACTCCTGGGGTTTGGAGATGTTTGGGTTTCTCCTGGAGGGCTGGCACTTGCACATTTTTGGGCTTTTTCCCTCCCAGGACCCTTCTTAAGGCACTGGTAGTGGGCAGAGCGGGTGAGACTCTGTAGGCACAGCACTAGACTGGGCTTTTAAACAAAGAACAAACATTTTCTTGACTATCTACAAGTAACAGGATTTTAAACACAAAAGGCACTTTAAATTAAACACAGAAAATAAAAACACCACCGGGCACAAATAAAATAAGACAAAATGCAGTTCCTCTGACCCTGAACTGATCCCTATACTTACTTTCCTCCTCAGGATGAGGTCCAGTTTTCAACCTGCAGCCTGGCCTCCTGCCTTCTATAGGTTGTTCTGGATCCCTCCGAGGATCCCTTCCCACTGTTGCCTTCCCTGATCCCCAAGACCTCTCTCCACCTGTGGGCAATCTGCAGTGCATGTTGCAGGCACCAGCAGGCTCTATGAAGTGTGAAAGATAGACTTCTCTGCCTGGGAGGGGTGATGCCAGTGCCAATCACATGTGCCTGCCTTGCTCTGTTCAAGCCAAGGAGGAGGGAAGGAATGGAAGAGACCTGGGAGAGCTTGCTTGCCTGGTCTATCTGCCCCATGCAGCCTCCCACTCGTACTCTCCCACTGATTAAAGTGTAGCATGTACCACTACTGACCTGATCCTTGAGCTGAGGAAGGCTGTGCAGCTGGTTGTTGACTCTCTGGGCCTGCTGGCTCTGGATTCTGAGATGGAAAATTCCGGGGTGCAAGGATACTCGTCAGGGCGGTTAGCAGAAGAAGGAAGTTCCAGCCAAATACAGGAGCAAAACAGTGGCTAGTAGACCACAATCTTTAGTGTTGCACAGCAGATTTCTACACAGAGTAAGAACCCCGAACATGGGCTACAAGCTCCTTGAAGACCTTCCCTCCCTACCCAGAATACATTTCCAGAACCATCATTCATACATTGATACATCACTATGTATCATCATCATATCACAAGGAGGGAGTCCTGAGGTTACCCAAGTTCATCAACTTGCCCTGGTTATCAGATCAAGTTCCAAACACCTTAAGTAAAGGTAAAGGGACCCCTGACCATTAGGTCCAGTTGTGACCGACTCTGGGATTGCCGCGCTCATCTGGCTTTATTGCCCGAGGGAGCCAGCGTACAGCTTCCAGGTCATGTGGCCAGCATGACTAAGCCGCTTCTGGCGAACCAGAGCAGGGCATGGAAACGCCATTTACCTTCCCACCGGAGTAGTACCTATTTATCTACTTGCACTTTGGTGTGCTTTCAAACTGCTAGGTTGGCAGGAGCAGGGACCGAGAAATGGGAGGTCACCCCGTCATGAGGATTCGAACTGCTGACCTTCTGATCGGCAAGTCCTAGGCTCTGTGGTTTAACCCACAGCACCAAGTACCCACCACCTAAAGAACAATAAAACTATCAATGCATATCCTTACCTTCTGGCCTTCTCGAGGATGGGCTGTGGGAACACCTGGCCTCAGGAAACCCATCAATGGATGTTCATTGTTCCCTCAAGGGAGGGTCTGCTGTGTACTTGACTGTATATCCCAAGGTTAATTGGAGGGGGTGGTATCCAAGTTGAGTACGTGACCTCTCCCTTAGAGGATTATGGAGGAAGACGATGCCCAAGTCCACCTTTCCTTTTGAAGCAAAATGTCATTGAAATGGGGGAGAAATGCCCTTGCATGAAGTCTTGGGTTTGCAATTTTGGGAGAGGGGAGACTGCAGTGCTGGGGAGTGAGCAGGCTGGTGAGGCCCCCTAGATTTAGAGGCCCGAGTTGCCCTGCCCTTGCATGAAGTCTTGGGTTTGCAATTTTGGGAGAGGGAAGACTGTCTGCAGCACTGGGGAGTGGACAGGCTGGCGAAGCCCCCTAGATCTAGAGGCCCTAGGCTTCAGCCTACTGAGCCTATAGATAAATCCGGCCCTGGCCCCAAGGGTGAGTCAGCATCACCTAACCGCACTCCTGGTGACTGAAGGCGGCTGGTGCCAAGGTTTCTTCTCAGCGCTTTTTCCTCATTGAACAAGCAGATAGCACATTGCCCATCCTCAAACTATTGTAATCAAAAGAACGCAAAATAATAAAACTGGAATAAATCAAGAAAGAGGAAGGAAGGGGAAATAGCAACGAAAACAAAGGAAAGCAGGAAAATTGGGGAAATGAGAAAGACGGTGAGGGAGCAAGAGAAATATGTAGAGGTGCCTTAGAAAGAGCAAATAAGAGGATGGCCCCACCAGTTATTTCGGGAAAATCATAAAGAGTGGGTTTTCAAGGCAAAAGCTCCTTGGCAACAAAGAAAGAAACAAATAAAAAAAATTGGACATGGATCTTTAAAGTGCTGACCTGTGCCTGGAAAGAGTGGAGAGAGAAAAACGGATCTGCAGCAAATTCCTGAAAGTGGGAGAAGCGAAGCTTTTATTCAAGAAAGACTTTCATAGACTGCAGAATGATGAAAGTAATGGGATATAAATGGGGTGCTCCTGGACCCCAGGGGATAATCACTTAGAATGGACATTTTCCTGGGCTTGGGGGGAGGGGAGGGGAGGTGTTGAGGGGTTTGCACCTGGTCTTCACTTTGGTTCAAACAAATACTGGCTTCAGGTGATGGGACCAGTTCATTCTTCTGAGTTTGCATCCCACCTCCCCCTTGCATCTCTCTCTCCCTTTGACCAGGCACCCCCTTCCTTCCTTCTCTTTTCCATTTTGCACTTCTATTTTTTCCTTTCTTTAATGTGTTGTGTCTTTATTCTGCACTGTAAGGATGGAGGTATATAAAATGACACGGTATCCAAAGGAGTCATCCAGTGAAGCTGAAGGGTGGGTTAGTCAGGAAAGGCAAGAGGAAAGACTTCCTCACGCAGTATTGCATTGCTTAAGTATGGAACTCCCTGCCACTAGATATGGTGATTGCTGCCATATTGGGCGGCTTTAGAAGGGGGTTAAAGAAACACATGGAAGATTTAGGCCCTTGACGGCCCTTCCCCAGGAGAAGAGGCAGTGTGGCTCTCAATAGTACCAGTTTTTAGGGGTCGTCACACCTCTCATTGTGGATTCCCCACCCCCCTAAATGCCTAGTTGGCCACTACAGGAACAGACTGCTAGACTAGATGGTTCTTTAGCCTGCTCCAACAGGACTCTTCTTATGGGGGAAGTCCGAGCACCAGTCATCCTAGGCTCCTTGCTCCAGCCCCCTGAAAACACACATTAAAAAGGAAGACAATACATTTCTCAGGAAGCCATGCCTGGTAGAATCATAGTGCTTTAAATGTAGTGTGGAAGCAGCATTAGAAACTGCAGAAGTTACTTTTTTTAAAAAAAAAAAGTGTGTTAATTCTTTCACCTTCACCAATAAAATCAAAAGTTCATCTGCTCTTTGGCTTTTCCCATTTCCTTTCTGCCTACAGAAAACATTTAAGATCAGATTATTGCAACCAGAGTAGAATGGGCTGCTTTCAGCTACTCTGCAGGTTTTGTTTGTTTCTGGAGCTTGGAAAGTGAAGGCATTCAAGAGGAATGTTGACTTGATGTTAACAAAAGCTCCTGAAACCTGGAGAATGGGTGAGATGGATGATAAAGGCAAGCAATTGTATCAATAACGGTGCAGCAGCAAGCTTGCTGGCTCTTCCAGCAATACTTTATTTGACTCTCTGTAATAAATTTTCTGCTGCTAAGAAATAACTCATCCCCATCCCCCCTGCCTACCTTATGTGAGTCTTGAATCGTAACTTCTGGTTAGGTATTCAAAAGGGTGCTGCTGTACAAAACAGTGCACCAGTGGTGCTATGAACACAATGTTTGGAAACCTAGGAAGCCACCTTATACTGAGTGATACCCTTGGGTTCATCTAGCCCAGTAGTGTCTACACTGACTGGCAGAGGCTCTCCAATATTTAGGAACATAGGAAACTGCCTTATTTATTTATTTATTTATTTACTACGATATCATAATATATCAAAGCAGTTTTTAGAATAAAAACACAAAACATAAAAAGATAAAACTTTGCAATAAAAACCACAAAGCAGTTAAAAGCAAATATCAATAACCATTGTGGAAGGAGGTGTTCTTATTGCCTGCACAGGCCTGTGGAATAGAACAGGAAAGTTTTCTCAGGCATTAAAAAGTTGGAACAGAAGGCACCTGTTGACTTATACTGAGCCAGTCCATATGATCCATTCTAGCTCAGTATTATCTATGCTGACAGCCAGCACCTCTGCAGGGTTCTCTCCCATCCCTACCTGGGGACACTGAGGACTGAACCTTGGACTTTATGCATGTAAAGCAGGTGCTCTACTACTGAGCTACAGCTCTTCCCTGAAGGTTGTAAGCATATGCCTGTAATCTAGGGATTAGAAACCTGTGGCCCTGCAGATGTTGCTGGACTCCAATTCCCATCAGCCTCAGTCAGCATGGCCAACAGTCAGGGATAATGGAGAGAGATCCAGGGCCGACAAAACCCAATGAGTGCTCACAGGGTGCCACAGGGTTCCGTCCTAGTCTGCATCTTTAAAAACAACAATCTGCAGTTGACACGAAACTAGAAAGGGTAGCTAATGCTATAGAAGACAGAATTGGGATTCAATATGACCTTAACAGATTGGAGAACTGGGCCGAAATTAATAAAATGAATTTCAGTAGGGACAAATGTCAGGTTCTACATGCTCAGATATAATATTTTTTTAAGAAGCAGTTTAATGACCGCCTCTTTCAGTGGGCCTGGGAAGGCTCCCTCACAGAGGGGAACATTCACCACCCCACAGAGCCCATCATCCAGCCCTTCCCGACTTGCTTTTATCAGCCAGGATGGACAAGGATCAAGAAGGCAGGTG